CCCACATCCCCCTGCAGAAGACCCCCACCCATCACCCCCACCTCCTCATCCCCATCCCGTGCAAGGTAAGGATGAAGGGCTGGGCAGGGGGACGGGGATGGGGGGGGGTCCGGGCGGCCCGGTAGGGCTGCCCGGACCACCCCCCCATCCCCGTCCCCCTGCAGAAGACCCCCACCCATCACCCCTACATCCCCATCCCCATCCCGTGCAAGGTAAGGATGAAGGGCTGGGCAGGGGGATGGGGATGGGGGGCGGTCCGGGCGGCCCGGTAGGGCTGCCCGGACCACCCCCCCATCCCCGTTCCCCTGCAGAAGACCCCCACCCATCACCCCCACATCCCCATCCCCATCCCGTGCAAGGTAAGGATGAATTACCGGGCAGGGTGAACTATGTGAAAATGAATCAAATCCTTAGGAATTCTTGCCTCGGTTCTGCTGAAAGCACAGGTGTTAACACACACCTGTTGGGAGCCGCGGCTTTACCCTGATCCCACTTAAGCAGGAGGCAATTAGTTCGGCCGGGCTGATGCTGCTGGAGTTCTGCCAGCACAGTGTGTAAGTGAGACCAGATGTAGGATCTTTAATCATTGGTATGCGAGTGCCTAGAGAGTAATTCCTCAGGGGGTTTTTTTGCCCATGGTCACTCCTAAATTCTCAAGGCCAGACTGAGCTTCCCTTTGTTGAGGCCGAACTTGTTCTGGTGCACTTTCCTGGTGCTGGTGATGGCTCTGCAGAGCTCGGGCTTAACTCCAGAGAGCTCTTCCCTGGGGGAATGCTGTTACCCCTCTGGATTGTGCTTATTCACACCAAACCTCACCTGTCATTTTACCTGCAGTTTTCCACTATTGTGAGGCCTCCCACTGCCAGTCCCTCAGTGGACTGTGCCTCCTGCAAACATACACACCTGAGATTTGGCACAGCCGTATGTGGAGCTGGGATTTGTTGCCAGTGATTCAGGCAGAACATTCCGGTGGCAGAGGGGGAGCTGCAGGCAGAGTCAGCTGTGGTGACAACCTGTGATCCAGTTGCAGAGGTCAGGCTGTCACTGCTGTCCCTGGGACTCGTGTCTCCCCCCCCGTTGCTCTGCTCCTGCCGCAGTGGCCGTGTCTGGCAGCGGGAGGTGGTGGGGACAAGGACCCCGGCGGGGTGAGCCAGCCCTGCCAGGGGATCCCTGCTGGTCCAGCACGGCTGAGGACACAGAGTCACCTCAGAGAAGCTGCCACGCACATGTGTGTTAGCACAGCTCCACAGTGTTGGTTTTGCAAAATATTTATTGCAAAATAAAAGTAAATATGGCAACAAAACTTAAATAGCAAATGACGTGACACTGGCCATAAAGCTCTTGCTATATTATGAGTCTTTTACAATAATCAATATTGTCAAGTGTGTCTCCCAGGGCAGCTGCACGGGGACAGCCCGAGTCTGTCGCTGTGTCACTGGCTCCAGCTGTCTGGGATCTGTGAGAATTGTGCCTCCTGCTCGCACCTGTACCTGGTCAGATCCCCCTGCACCAGACAGGAGTCACACAGGAGTACCTTCCATGCTCCCTGAAACCTGCTGGGCCGTACCCCAGCCTCTCCTCCTCTTTTTCCTTTTAAAGCTGCTGCAGCTGACCCACTGCCCATCCCCTTCCATAGTGGAATGGAGAAACATTGCTGAAGTACCTACTGCTCCTGCTTTGAGTCACAGCTTCTTCTGAGAGGTTGCTTGGATTTCTTTCCCTTCCCACCTACTAGGAAAAGACAGGCAGCCTTGGAGGAGAGACTGTTGGAGCAGCCAGGGATCAGGTTAGGAAAGCTAAAGCCTGATAGAATTAAACCTGGCCAGGGACGCCAAGGGCAACAAGCAAAGCCTCTACAGGTACATCGGTGATAAAAGGAAGAGTAGAGAAAATGTGGGCCCTCTGCAGAAGGAAACGAGAGACCTGGTTCCCCAGGACATGGAGAAGGCTGGGATGGATACTCAGTGACGTTTGTCTCAACCTTCATGGCAAGTGCTCCAGCCACAGCACCTGAGCCACAGGAGGCAAAGGCAGGGAGTGGGAGAAGGAAGAACCGCCCACCGTGGGAGAGGATCAGGGTCGAGAAGGTCTAAGGGACCTGAAGGGCATAAGTCCATGGGACCTAACGAGATGCACCCACGGGTCCAGAGGGAACTGGCAGAGGAAGTGGCTCAGCCACTATCCGTCATATTTGAGAAGTCATGGCAGTCCAGTGAAGTTCTCATGGAGTGCAAAAGGGGAAACATAACCCCCCTTTTTTAAAAAGGGGAGTAAGGAAGACCCAGGGAACTACAGGCTGGTAAGTCTCACCTCGGTGCCCAGCAAGAGCATGGAGCAGATCCTCCTGGAAACTATGCTAAGGCACATGGAAAATAAGGAGGTGATTGGTGACAGCCAACATGGCCTTACTAAGGGCAAATCATGAGAACCTGGAGCCCCTTCCAGTGCCTATAGGTGCTACAAGAGAGCGGGAGAGGGACTTTGGACAAGGGCCTGGAATGACAGGACAAGGCAGAATGGCTTCCCACTGCCAGAGGGAAGGGTTATATGGGATATTGGGAAGAAATTCTTCCCTGTGAGGGTGGGGAGGCCCTGGCACAGGTTGCCCAGAGAAGCTGTGGCTGCCCCATCCCTGGAAGTGTCCAAAGCCAGGCTGTACAGGGCTTGGAGCAACCTGGGCTAGTGGAAGGTGTCCCTGCTCATGGCAAGGGGATTGGAATAGATGATCTTTAAGTCTCTTCCAACCCAAACCCTTCTGTGATACTGCAGCCTGTTATTAGAGCTCACCAGTGAGAGAGCGAATCTGTACTGCTGTTTAAAGGGCTTTTAGGTGCGCTCCAAACAGGAGCTTCTTAAGCCACATGTCCAATGGAAGCACTCTTTACATAAAATACAATTAAATTATAAAAGGTAACTGTGTGTGTGTAATCTTCCTAAGGCACCCAAGAATTTTAAAAGACCTTGTCCCCCTCATGTTACTTACAGGACACTCTTGTTCCTCTTCTCCCCAAAGTCACAACTGCTGGCTAGTCAGGAACCTTAGCGTACACGATGACATAGTTGAACAGCATTAAAAACAGGAACCAAAAGCAAACCCCGGTGAAGCACTACGTCCAGACAGCTCGGGTCACGGACAGCACATGGAAATGGTCACGTTAATGCCGAGGTTCCCGTTGTCAGCAAAGAGGTGCGCGGTGGCTGTGTCAAAAACGAGGCAGTTGCTGTTGCGGATGGCCACGGACACGCCGTCGTGGATGGAGCAGGGGGAGGCCTCCCAGGTCAGCCGGTGGCAGTTGCCGTGCAGTTCCAGCCTGTACTGAAAGTTCTCCGCCTGCTTTCGGGTGCCGATGAGCAGCACGGTGGCGAAAAACTGCTGGTGACCTTCACACTTCTCCTGCTTCTTCAGCACCAGCATGAAGTGGTGGCTGAAGCACGACTGCATCATCACCCAGTCCACTGCCCCTGGCAGGTTAATGTCTGTGGCGAGGAAAATGATGTCTTCTCCCTGAAGGGTGGTGATGCTTTTGTGGGCGTGCATGAGGTGGGACATCACGGCTTCCAGCGATCCCTCCCAGTCGCAGGAGGTACCGGGGCACGGGCAGGAGTAGGGACGGTACTCACAGACGGCTTCGTGTTTTGGCTTTTCCGTGTGGTGGAGTGTCAGGGAGCAGCCTGTTGTGGCATACTGGGGAAAAAAAGACCAAATACAAGCGATCAGGAAAGGCACTGGCGCTGGGGATGGGGATGTGGGGGTGATGGGTGGGGGTCTTCTGCAGGGGAACGGGGATGGGGGGGTGGTCCGGGCAGCCCTACCGGGCCGCCCGGACCCCCCCCCATCCCCGTCCCCCTGCCCAGCCCTTCATCCTTACCTTGCACGGGAAGAGGACAGCCGAGGCCACCTTCTCCATGGCCAGGTTCCTGATGTTGGGGGTGAGGGAGCCCCGACAGGTGGGGCAGAGGCTCAGCTGCTGCCGGCATTGCTTGCACACGAGGTGCCCGGCCTGGCACTGCAGGATGGGCGGCAGGACATAGTCGAAGCAGATCGGGCACTCGAAGAGCGAGGTCAGCTCCTGCTGCTGCTGCTGCTGCTGCTGGGGGGGAGGAAGAGGAGGAGGAGGAGGAGGGGGAGGCGGCGGAGAAGCCCCGCCGGGCCCCGGCAGGACGACGGCGGGGGACGGGGCGTGATGCTGCTGCTGCTGCTGCTGCTGCTGCTTCCCGCAGGGCTTGCTAGGGCCGGGGCCGGCGGAGGACGGGCGGCTCATCGCGCCTCGGCACCATCGGACCGCGCAGGGGAGGGAGAGGGAGAGGGAGGGGAAGGAGGCAGAGGAGGAGGAGGAGGACGGGGGGAAGGACGGACGGGGCGGCGCTGGGAGAGCGGCGGCTGCGCGGCCACTGCCCCGCTCCCGGCGGGCCCCGCGCGGGCGGAACCGGCACCGGCAGGGACAGAGAGTGATCCGTGTGTGTGATGTGTGTGTGATATGTGTGTGTGATGTGTGTGTGATGTGTGTGTGATGTGTGTGT